CTAGTGATGAGGTACAGGGCAGTGTGGAGATTCACTGAAAATGTTCTTGTTTCAGTGGTGATTGCCATGTAGCTACTTTTTTTTTCCCATACCCTAGATCAATTATTTCGAAAGGCCTTGTGTTGGACTTTGCTTTGGAATGTGTTTTTGCAGCTTAACAACTGTCCTGTAAGCAATTTCAACGAGAGTAATGTCCTTTTAATGAAGAGTGCTACAAACTGTTTATGCGGCAATCTAAGTGTAACAACTCTCGTACGGCCTGTGCTAACAGAAGGTAAGGAGATCATATGGCACCCTTTAGGAGGATTGGATGACTTCCCCTCAAGGTCTCCCTGGACCATCATGGCCCCTGTAACAGACTTTCAACCTGGAATGCCTCAAAACCAGGTCCCACCGAGATTTGAATTCGGATCGCTGGATTCAGAGTCCAGAGTGCTAACCATTACACCATGGAACCAATGTAAAGCAACCTGAAATAGCAGTGAAACAATTTTTTGCGTGTTGCAGTTAAAGGGCAGATAAACGGATAAAGAGGGCATAAAGAAAATACAGTTGCAAGGAAAAGCACAAGTGTGTCAGAAGTGGGATTCGAACCCACGCCTCCAGAGGAGACTGCGACCTGAACGCAGCGCCTTAGACCGCTCGGCCATCCTGACTGCATCACCTATGCTTGTCCTAGCTTACGAGGTCAAATTTAGTATAGGAATCTATTCTAAGAAACAACTGTATGTTTACACTTGAGGGTTGGCTCATGGTGATTGAGACTCTTTATATCTGTTTTAATATTGGGCCAACAAACCTGAATGCTGAGGGGCTGTGAAAGCTACATGATCAAAGGACTTGTGAGAGATTGGCATCTTGGTCTGCTAGCCAACCATCAACTGGCAACTTTCCAGTACTTTTGTCCTGCAATGAAAAAAAAAAATAAAACACTTGTCGTAATGAATCCACTGGTTCCGTGGTGTAATGGTTAGCACTCTGGACTTTGAATCCAGTGATCTGACTTCAAGTCTTGGTGGAACCTAGTGATGAGGTACAGGGCAGTGTGGAGATTCACTGAAAATGTTCTTGTTTCAGTGGTGATTGCCATGTAGCTACTTTTTTTTCCCCATACCCTAGATCAATTATTTCGAAAGGCCTTGTGTTGGACTTTGCTTTGGAATGTGTTTTTGCAGCTTAACAACTGTCCTGTAAGCAATTTCAACGAGAGTAATGTCCTTTTAATGAAGAGTGCTACAAACTGTTTATGCGGCAATCTAAGTGTAACAACTCTCGTACGGCCTGTGCTAACAGAAGGTAAGGAGATCATATGGCACCCTTTAGGAGGATTGGATGACTTCCCCTCCCTGGACCATCATGGCCCCTGTAACAGACTTTCAACCTGGAATGCCTCAAAACCAGGTCCCACCGAGATTTGAACTCGGATCGCTGGATTCAGAGTCCAGAGTGCTAACCATTACACCATGGAACCAATGTAAAGCAACCTGAAATAGCAGTGAAACAATTTTTTGCGTGTTGCAGTTAAAGGGCAGATAACGGATAAAGAGGGCATAAAGAAAATACAGTTGCAAGGAAAAGCACAAGTGTGTCAGAAGTGGGATTCGAACCCACGCCTCCAGAGGAGACTGCGACCTGAACGCAGCGCCTTAGACCGCTCGGCCATCCTGACTGCATCACCTATGCTTGTCCTAGCTTACGAGGTCAAATTTAGTATAGGAATCTATTCTAAGAAACAACTGTATGTTTACACTTGAGGGTTGGCTCATGGTGATTGAGACTCTTTATATCTGTTTTAATATTGGGCCAACAAACCTGAATGCTGAGGGGCTGTGAAAGCTACATGATCAAAGGACTTGTGAGAGATTGGCATCTTGGTCTGCTAGCCAACCATCAACTGGCAACTTTCCAGTACTTTTGTCCTGCAATGAAAAAAAAAAATAAAACACTTGTCGTAACGAATCCACTGGTTCCGTGGTGTAATGGTTAGCACTCTGGACTTTGAATCCAGTGATCTGACTTCAAGTCTTGGTGGAACCTAGTGATGAGGTACAGGGCAGTGTGGAGATTCACTGAAAATGTTCTTGTTTCAGTGGTGATTGCCATGTAGCTACTTTTTTTTCCCCATACCCTAGATCAATTATTTCGAAAGGCCTTGTGTTGGACTTTGCTTTGGAATGTGTTTTTGCAGCTTAACAACTGTCCTGTAAGCAATTTCAACGAGAGTAATGTCCTTTTAATGAAGAGTGCTACAAACTGTTTATGCGGCAATCTAAGTGTAACAACTCTCGTACGGCCTGTGCTAACAGAAGGTAAGGAGATCATATGGCACCCTTTAGGAGGATTGGATGACTTCCCCTCCCTGGACCATCATGGCCCCTGTAACAGACTTTCAACCTGGAATGCCTCAAAACCAGGTCCCACCGAGATTTGAACTCGGATCGCTGGATTCAGAGTCCAGAGTGCTAACCATTACACCATGGAACCAATGTAAAGCAACCTGAAATAGCAGTGAAACAATTTTTTGCGTGTTGCAGTTAAAGGGCAGATAACGGATAAAGAGGGCATAAAGAAAATACAGTTGCAAGGAAAAGCACAAGTGTGTCAGAAGTGGATTCGAACCCACGCCTCCAGAGGAGACTGCGACCTGAACGCAGCGCCTTAGACCGCTCGGCCATCCTGACTGCATCACCTATGCTTGTCCTAGCTTACGAGGTCAAATTTAGTATAGGAATCTATTCTAAGAAACAACTGTATGTTTACACTTGAGGGTTGGCTCATGGTGATTGAGACTCTTTATATCTGTTTCAATATTGGGCCAACAAACCTGAATGCTGAGGGGCTGTGAAAGCTACATGATCAAAGGACTTGTGAGAGATTGGCATCTTGGTCTGCTAGCCAACCATCAACTGGCAACTTTCCAGTACTTTTGTCCTGCAATGAAAAAAAAATAAAACACTTGACGTAATGATTCCACTGGTTCCGTGGTTAATGGTTAGCACTCTGGACTTTGAATCCAGTGATCTGACTTCAAGTCTTGGTGGAACCTAGTGATGAGGTACAGGGCAGTGTGGAGATTCACTGAAAATGTTCTTGTTTCAGTGGTGATTGCCAGGTAGCTACTTTTTTTTCCCATACCCTAAATCAATTATTTCAAAGGCCTTGTGTTGGACTTTGCTTTGGAATGTGTTTTTGCAGCTTAACAACTGTCCTGTAAGCAATTTCAACGAGAGTAATGTCCTTTTAATGAAGAGTGCTACAAACTGTTTATGCGGCAATCTAAGTGTAACAACTCTCGTACGGCCTGTGCTAACAGAAGGTAAGGAGATCATATGGCACCCTTTAGGAGGATTGGATGACTTCCCCTCAAGGTCTCCCTGGACCATCATGGCCCCTGTAACAGACTTTCAACCTGGAATGCCTCAAAACCAGGTCCCACCGAGATTTGAACTCGGATCGCTGGATTCAGAGTCCAGAGTGCTAACCATTACACCATGGAACCAATGTAAAGCAACCTGAAATAGCAGTGAAACAATTTTTTGCGTGTTGCAGTTAAAGGGCAGATAACGGATAAAGAGGGCATAAAGAAAATACAGTTGCAAGGAAAAGCACAAGTGTGTCAGAAGTGGATTCGAACCCACGCCTCCAGAGGAGACTGCGACCTGAACGCAGCGCCTTAGACCGCTCGGCCATCCTGACTGCATCACCTATGCTTGTCCTAGCTTACGAGGTCAAATTTAGTATAGGAATCTATTCTAAGAAACAACTGTATGTTTACACTTGAGGGTTGGCTCATGGTGATTGAGACTCTTTATATCTGTTTCAATATTGGGCCAACAAACCTGAATGCTGAGGGGCTGTGAAAGCTACATGATCAAAGGACTTGTGAGAGATTGGCATCTTGGTCTGCTAGCCAACCATCAACTGGCAACTTTCCAGTACTTTTGTCCTGCAATGAAAAAAAATAAAACACTTGACGTAATGATTCCACTGGTTCCGTGGTTAATGGTTAGCACTCTGGACTTTGAATCCAGTGATCTGACTTCAAGTCTTGGTGGAACCTAGTGATGAGGTACAGGGCAGTGTGGAGATTCACTGAAAATGTTCTTGTTTCAGTGGTGATTGCCATGTAGCTACTTTTTTTTCCCATACCCTAAATCAATTATTTCAAAAGGCCTTGTGTTGGACTTTGCTTTGGAATGTGTTTTTGCAGCTTAACAACTGTCCTGTAAGCAATTTCAACGAGAGTAATGTCCTTTTAATGAAGAGTGCTACAAACTGTTTATGCGGCAATCTAAGTGTAACAACTCTCGTACGGCCTGTGCTAACAGAAGGTAAGGAGATCATATGGCACCCTTTAGGAGGATTGGATGACTTCCCCTCAAGGTCTCCCTGGACCATCATGGCCCCTGTAACAGACTTTCAACCTGGAATGCCTCAAAACCAGGTCCCACCGAGATTTGAATCGGATCGCTGGATTCAGAGTCCAGAGTGCTAACCATTACACCATGGAACCAATGTAAAGCAACCTGAAATAGCAGTGAAACAATTTTTTGCGTGTTGCAGTTAAAGGGCAGATAAACGGATAAAGAGGGCATAGAAAATACAGTTGCAAGGAAAAGCACAAGTGTGTCAGAAGTGGGATTCGAACCCACGCCTCCAGAGGAGACTGCGACTGAACGCAGCGCCTTAGACCGCTCGGCCATCCTGACTGCATCACCTATGCTTGTCCTAGCTTACGAGGTCAAATTTAGTATAGGAATCTATTCTAAGAACAACTGTATGTTTACACTTGAGGGTTGGCTCATGGTGATTGAGACTCTTTATATCTGTTTCAATATTGGGCCAACAAACCTGAATGCTGAGGGGCTGTGAAAGCTACATGATCAAAGGACTTGTGAGAGATTGGCATCTTGGTCTGCTAGCCAACCATCAACTGGCAACTTTCCAGTACTTTTGTCCTGCAATGAAAAAAAAAAAACACTTGACATAATGATTCCACTGGTTCCATGGTGTAATGGTTAGCACTCTGGACTTTGAATCCAGTGATCTGAGTTCAAGTCTCTTGGTGGAACCTAGTGATGTGGTATAGGGCAGTGTGGAGATTCACTGAAAATGTTCTTGTTTCAGTGGTGATTGCCATGTAGCTACTTTTTTTTCCCATACCCTAATCAATTATTTCAAAGGCCTTGTGTTGGACTTTGCTTTGGAATGTGTTTTTGCAGCTTAACAACTGTCCTGTAAGCAATTTCAACGAGAGTAATGTCCTTTTAATGAAGAGTGCTACAAACTGTTTATGCGGCAATCTAAGTGTAACAACTCTCGTACGGCCTGTGCTAACAGAAGGTAAGGAGATCATATGGCACCCTTTAGGAGGATTGGATGACTTCCCCTCAAGGTCTCCCTGGACCATCATGGCCCCTGTAACAGACTTTCAACCTGGAATGCCTCAAAACCAGGTCCACCGAGATTTGAATTCGGATCGCTGGATTCAGAGTCCAGAGTGCTAACCATTACACCATGGAACCAATGTAAAGCAACCTGAAATAGCAGTGAAACAATTTTTTGCGTGTTGCAGTTAAAGGGCAGATAACGGATAAAGAGGGCATACAGAAAATACAGTTGCAAGGAAAAGCACAAGTGTGTCAGAAGTGGGATTCGAACCCAGCCTCCAGAGGAGACTGCGACCTGAACGCAGCGCTTAGACCGCTCGGCCATCTGACTGCATCACCTATGCTTGTCCTAGCTTACGAGGTCAAATTTAGTATAGGAATCTATTCTAAGAAACAACTGTATGTTTACACTTGAGGGTTGGCTCATGGTGATTGAGACTCTTTATATCTGTTTCAATATTGGGCAACAAATGAATGCTGAGGGGCTGTGAAAGCTACATGATCAAAGGACTTGTGAGAGATTGGCATCTTGGTCTGCTAGCCAACCATCAACTGGCAACTTTCCAGTACTTTTGTCCTGCAATGAAAAAAAAAAAAAACACTTGACGTAATGATTCCACTGGTTCCTGGTGTAATGGTTAGCACTCTGGACTTTGAATCCAGTGATCTGACTTCAAGTCTCGGTGGAACCTAGTGATGAGGTACAGGGCAGTGTGGAGATTCACTGAAAATGTTCTTGTTTCAGTGGTGATTGCCATGTAGCTACTTTTTTTTCCCCATACCCTAAATCAATTATTTCAAAGGCCTTGTGTTGGACTTTGTTGGAATGTGTTTTTGCAGCTTAACAACTGTCCTGTAAGCAATTTCAACGAGAGTAATGTCCTTTTAATGAAGAGTGCTACAAACTGTTTATGCGGCAATTCTAAGTGTAACAACTCTCGTACGGCCTGTGCTAACAGAAGGTAAGGAGATCATATGCACCCTTTAGGAGGATTGGATGACTTCCCCTCAAGGTCTCCCTGGACCATCATGGCCCCTGTAAAGACTTTCAACCTGGAATGCCTCAAAACCAGGTCCCACCGAGATTTGAACTCGGATCGCTGGATCAGAGTCCAGAGTGCTAACCATTACACCATGGAACCAATGTAAAGCAACCTGAAATAGCAGTGAAACAATTTTTGCGTGTTGCAGTTAAAGGGCAGATAACCGGATAAAGAGGCATAAAGAAAATACAGTTGCAAGGAAAAGCACAAGTGTGTCAGAAGTGGATTCGAACCACGCCTCCAGAGGAGACTGCGACCTGAACGCAGCGCCTTAGACCGCTCGGCCATCCTGACTGCATCACCTATGCTTGTCCTAGCTTACGAGGTCAAATTTAGTATAGGAATCTATTCTAAGAAACAACTGT